ATGAAAGTGTCTGGGCCACTAACCATCCCCTGTAAGGAGGAATGCAATGACTCTTATCTTTACTTCACACTGTGAATATTCTAACTCAACATAAACTCTCCAGTCCTTCTGAAAGACCATTACTTAAAGCTGCAGTGCCACTGAGTCTTGGTGGTTGGGTCCACCCTGTATGAAGTGGTCCTTGTTACTCACTTCTCAAGTGGTCTCTCAGGAACTTAGTGTTTCTTCTCCTGGAAGTTGCCTCAAAGGGCGGCAAGGATGAAATAACTCTTGTGCTGTATCTCACAGTCTCAAAGACATTGCCCTGCCTGCCCCACCTTCCTGTTAAGAAGCAAAGGCAAGCCTGATCCCCTATGGTGTGGAAGTATGAGCTGTCTCCCTGTCTCCCTGAGGCCTGGGAATCCCTCATACCTTTCTTGTACTTTGGCAAAAGTAACATCAATTTCTCTGTACCATTGCATAGGTCATAATGGTCACCTAATGCAATCTGTAAGGAGTTATCATTGAGGGGCTGGAAAAAGCAGCAGACTCCAGGCAAAAGCAAAGCTAAGCTCGATCCAAGGTGCACTGGAGAACACACACACACACACACACACACACACACACACACACACACACACACACCTCTTCCTAGTTTCTTGGCAGTTTAAAAACGGTTTCAAACTAAAAGAATCAAGCTGGTGCAATGGCACACACCTGTCATCTCAGCACAGGGAAGATGGAGACAGAAGAGTCTCTGTAGTCCACTAGTCAGCCTGGCTAACCTACCTGGCGAGTTCCAGGTCTGTGAGACATCCTGTTGTAGAATATCATTTCAAGATGTGTTATATTTGTTTATGCTGTGGAACATTTGTTTAATGATGCAAAGATAGGTTGCATTCTTTTATGTTGCATTTGTTTAACTGTGTGAAGCTGTGTTACTTTGCCTGTCTAAAACATCCAATTGGTCTAATAAAGAGTGGAATGGCCAATAGCGAGGCAGAAAAAAAAAAGATAGGTGGGGCTAGCAGGTAAAGAGAATAAATAGGAGGAGAAATCTGGGAAGAGGACATCAGGGGCCAGGCACCCAGCTACACATCCAGCAACTGAGTAAGAGGTAAAGAAAGGTATATACAGAATGCAGAAAGATAAAGACCCAGAGCAAAAGATAGGATAATTTAAGAAAAGCTAGCTAGAAATAAGCCAAGCTAAGGCCAGGCATTTATAAGTAATAATAAGTCTCCGTGTGATTTATGTGGGAGCTGGGTGGCAGGCCCCCCAAAGAGCAAAAAAGCCAAAGAGTAAGCAAACAACCACAACACCCTGCCTCAAACACAAGGTGAGTGGCTCCTAAAGAGTGACACCTGAGGCTGTCCTCTGGCCTCTACACGTGTGCACACACGTGTACTGCCCCTCCCCGAACACAAAGTGGTTGTTCTCTTCTGTGCACGTGTGTCTTTTTGCTACAGTGCAGTGATCCCTCAGTGGCTGACTAGAGATAAGCATTTATCGTCAGCGTCTGCCTGTTCCACAGTCAATCATGCCTTTAATTTCTCCTTTGCCGAAAATCTTGGTTTCAAAAACAAATTGGGGGTGGGGGTGGGGGTGGTCTGGAAACTAAAGGCTTGCAGATGGGAGTAATGGCCTCCATCAGTCACCTGCCCTATAAACTCTGACAGCCTCCTTTCACACGATGTTCCCTGCATTTCTCAGTGATTGTAGGTGGGCCTCTCCCGGTAACGAGAGTTTCATGTGCTGATGGAGAGGTTGTGAGTTCAGGTGTCGGGAAAACTCTTCCAGTTGGCATAAAACATCCTGCCAGGAGCTGACAGCATCGCTGAACCTGAGGTTATAATGAATGTGGCCCAGAGACAAGACGGAGGGAAAGGAGCAGACTGCTCCGTGCCAACTGTCACAAATTCTGCGCAGTCTCTGGAGGAAAGGCCATCATTCTGGTTTTCGTTTGTCTGTTTGCCTGAGGCAGGGTTTGTCTGTGTGGCTCGCCTGTCTTCACAGTTGAGGCCTCTAGAGCCTTAGCATTGCCGGCATGGGTCACCACCCTCAGCCCGATCATTTTGATGACACACAGATGAAGCTGTGACTGCATCATTTCCCTGCTAGGAAGCTTACCAATCTGTTGGTATACTGATTCTTTTCCTGAGTGTCGTTTCTGAAGGGGATGATTTTCTAAATCACACTTTCAAAGCATGACTAAGACTTGTGATTAGAACTCACAGTGGCTGAGATAAATGAAACCTGTGGCAGGAGAGAGAGAACCCACTGGAACCTCACCCGGAAGAAAGGGACAGAGATGGCAACATGCAACCCTCTGAGGAGCACATGCCTTCTTCACAGTCCAAAGGCAATCAGCTCACACAATTGCAAATTATTTCCATGTTTTGAGAATAAGCCAGATGCTAATTTTAAGCATTTGAGCTCCGGTCACACAATGAAAAAAATATGTCTGGCTGACAACGTGTAAACCACGGGACACAAGCACAGACGTCACAGGGCAGTATTGTGATGTGTGCCCCTCTCCTACCTCAGCTGGGAGTCCTCTAACATGCCAGAAACTGTGGCTGGCATTCACTCACTAGAGCCATTCTGGTGGTGTGTGTGTGTGTGTGTGTGTGTGTGTGTGTGTGTGTGTGTGTGTGTATGTATGTGTGTGTGTAGAAGTTTGATATTAACATCAAGTGTCTTCCTTGATCTCTTCTTCACCTTTCTTTTTGAGACGTTGTCTTTTCCCTGATCTGTGTCCTTCATCTACGTGGCTCAGCTGGCAGGTCAATAAGCCCCAGGAACCTCCCTGTCTCCTCCCCATCCCAGATAGCCTAGGTACACACTGTCACTCTGACTTCTTGTGTGGGTCCTAGGAATCAAACTCAGCTCGTCATGCTTGTGTGGAAAGCAGTTTATTGGCCGAGTGATGGTTGGATACATCTGCTTCAACCATGTGCTTGGCAGCGGTAAGAGGTCACCTGTCTGATGCAGGTGGCCAGGCTGCAAGGGGTGTAAACACGTAAGGGGTGGAGGACACACTTCTTGGCAGAAACACGGAGCTAAAATGCTTTGGAATGCTTTGAGGAGCTTCTCTCTTCCCACAGGACTTTGCAGGTTTTCTGATCAGAGGGAATTCAATTACATGGTGGTTATACCCCGAGATGCAACGTTAAGGGATTGCAGCACATCGCCTCACATGGTTTTAATTAAAATGCTAGGAATTAAAAAGAAGTGGAATGATGACTCTTAATCTGTATGAATTATGTTTGATAAAAGACCTTAATTGAGATGACTCTAAAATGAGAAACACAAATATCCTAAATCTAGACGTTTCCTAGGAAGTGAAGTGGAGACCAGATTTTTACGTGAACCATTCTAGAAAGCAGCAGTGGTTCCCTCTAAGAGAGCTAAGCTACTGTACTGTGGATCTTGGGAAGTGCAGCTGAGTTTCCGGGTGGAAGCATGCATTGGTGCCTCACACTGCCTGGTAGACACAGAACGTCCAGGCAGAAGCCTTGAGAAACGACCATCATGGTTATTGCACTAAATGAGATCCGTCTACTTAACAGCCAACTGATTTTAGAGGAAACCTACGAGAAACACACAAGAAAGTGTTGACTGCTTTCCTCTTTTGTCTGTGTCATGTGTACACATGTGTGTGTGCATGTTTTGTATGTGTGAGCGTACACAACTTTTTATATGTTAGATAACTGCTAAACAAATAAATTACTCCATGTGGTATGGATGCCTTCCAAACAAACAATGAGAACATTATACATGCATGCAATTGTTGGAAACATGTGAAACTATAGAATAACATAGTATCTGCACTCTGAAATGTTGATTGAGAGTAGCAATGACTAATCTGGATTTTTTTTTTTTTTTTTTTTTTTTTTTGGTTTTTCGAGACAGGGTTTCTTTGTGTAGCTTTGCGCCTTTCCTGGAACTCACTTGGTAGACCAGGCTGGCCTCGAACTCACAGAGATCCGCCTGCCTCTGCCTCCCAAGTGCTGGGACTAAAGGCGTGCGCCACCACCGCCCGGCCTAATCTGGATTTTTAAAACATACTTTAAAACACTAAGTGAACATGTGATGGCTAAAGTTGTCAACTTGACAGGACACAGAATTGCCTAGGAGACAGAGCTCTGGGGATGTCTGTGAGGGAGCGTCTAGATTAGGTAGACTGAGGGAGGAAGACCATACTGAGGGCCTCTCTAACAAGCCACACACTGCAAACGTGGCTCAGCAGGTTTTGTCCTTTCCCCTCCCTTCCTAAAGCTAGCCCCCAAGGTCTAGTCCCTTGTCTGACTCGTTCCTAAGACACAGCACCAAGGACCAGCAAACAAATTCATTACTTCACTACACTGGCTAACCTGTCCAACCAGGACTTACCAACTCATCCTAACACAGACTTTCCCTTTTCCTCCTTAAAACCTCACTCCTGCGAACACACCTGCTGCTTGTCTGGCTTTGATCAGAGGCAGCCCCTCCCCGTTCTGAGCATCGGAGAGGAGTGAAGGTGTGCCGGGCACTAACACTCTTCTCTCTGCTCCCTGACTGAGTACAGCGTGACAATCAGATGCCTCCTGTTCCTCTCATCTTTCCATCCCCGTCGTGATGAACCGTACCCCCAAACCGTAAGCCAGAATAACGCCTCTTCCTTAAGCTGCTTACATCGGGTTGTGTCACAGGAATAAGAAAAGCAACTGATATAACAGAGTAACGAGTTCCATTATGCATTTTTCATTAGTCTGGATTTTCTGGGAAATGTTTAAATAACCACCAAATTTGGCTCACTGCATGCATACTTTATTTTGTTAAAATTGGGTGCTTAAAAAAAGCTATTTATTCTTTTTCCTATAAGCTCCACATACTTCTTAATACAGCAAAAGGATTCATCATGATTTCACATTTCCTGTGATTTCCTAACTTCTTTTTATTATCCTAAGTATTTCCCAGTAGAAATTTGGTATTTAATTCCCAGAGCCTCTCAAACTGAAGTCCTGCCTAAGTCCTTGCTCCTGTAGCTAGAAACCTAGCTGGGTCTGGTCTTTCTCTGCTCCAACGTGGGATTTACCAGCATCTACAGTGTGTAAACACTTCAAGTCTAGAAGCCAGAGACAACCAGGATGCCTTTCTTCAGGAAACTGGTGCGTGGTGTGGCTTACTCCTTCATCTGTCTGGGTAGTCTTTTAGCTTACAGATGCTCAGAAATGAACATAATTTTTTGTTTAAGGAGAGACAGAGGCTGGGTGTTGGCCAGACTTGAAGGTGCAAGCAGGCTGTAGCAGTAGGTAAGCCGCAGCCTCACAGACATTACCATCAGAGATAGATGTACTTCACCTCGTCACTCATGGGCTGCATGTCCCTGCAAACTAGCTCAGGAGAACCCAGGGGAACAGCCCCACCACACGCAGAGTTTCAGCACGAGCTCCTCAGCTCCGTGGTGGAGGCAGCCCTAACAATTACTTGATCTAAGGGAAAAAACTTCCTTAATGGAAGAAAATTAGTTGCATGCTGCCTCACACCATTATCAATAGCGTTTAAAATGAGTTCCAGCTATGCTCCACATATTTATATTTTCATCTTAGGCAAGCTCAGGGCACTAGCTGATCGAGTACATTTATTTTTAATAGAATCATGGAATCTTAAATGCTTGAAAGGCCCCGAGAAGCTGTATTATGCAATCACCTACCCCCTGAAGAACAGTATCGATAGCCCTCTCAGGCTTGCTCAAAGAATGAAAGGGCTTATTTATCCTCTTTGCTAGATCCATAAAATGTAGTTAGAAGTTTCAAGCATAAGAATTGTAAGAAAAATAAAACTTTGCTGCAATGACGGCTTTGTTCTCCTGACACAAGGCAATTAGAAGAATGTCATAAATGCATTTTAACCCTTTGAGGCAAAGAGAACTGATAAAAAAAAAATACCACGAGTCACATGCACAAACACATGTGTGATTATTCTTAGTCATAATGTGTGCAATTAGTCTCAAATGCCTACTTTCGTCAACTGCTGGAAATACAAAAGCATAATGCATTTTATTACTATTGGGATATACAGAGCATTTTAAAATTTAATCTACTTTCTCTCTTTATTGGAACCAAGAGTTGAATGAGATTAGATGGCTGAGGGAGGGGAGGGAAAGGGTGAAGAAAAGAAATAACCCACGTATGCATGTGTGTTTATGTGCATGCATACAGGAACATAAATTTGTATATACATGTGTGTTTATGTATGCTCACACATGTGCTTGTATTTTGTATAATGTTTGTGTGTGCACACAGGCATATGTATTTGTGTTTATGTATGTATATGTATGAGTTTATGTATGCTCATACATGTGAATGTATTTTGTATACATATATGTTTGTATGTGTTTGTACATGGGGGTGTGTACATACTTGTGTATACACATAGTCACTCAAGCATCAATTTTGTTTCAGAGCAGCAACCCAAACTGTCCTTTTGATGTTGATCAAAATCCTCATGTTGATGTGGATCTTTTGAGTGGTGTATTAGCCAAGAGCTATGAGGCCCCGCATCTCCTTCTATATCTGAGCCGGCATGCCAGGATGCAGACCTCTCTCCCATCACAGAGAAGGTATTTGTGGATATGCTAGAAGTTTTGACTGAGGGGTTCTCCCAGTTTTAAAGAACATATTTGTTTTTGCTCTGGGGTTTTCAAACTACAATATGAAAGTTATTTAAGGCTCAAGAGTGGGTGTGTTACATTACATGCAGCATAAATGTAGCCATTGCTCCTAAATGCGGACATTAACACACTCTGTAAAAGGTGCAATTATTACCACTGGGACAGAAATCAACAAACCTCACCAAAGGAATTTCCTAAAACTGCTATCATAAAATCTGCAAGCGTTATGGATTTCATTAACATTTTACTCCCGGAGGATTCCCAATTGTATAATAACAGAAGTTCTTTAAATTTTCAGGACTGCAGACAGGAACAGCCTTTTCACCCAAAAACAGATGTGAAGCCACCAGCCTTCCCTTCTCATTGGTCCACAGATTTGGTGCTGGCTGGTAACTAGGAGCACTTAACGGGCTGTTGTTTAGGCTACAGATATGAAAATGTAATATTATGAAAAGATAAATTAATAAATAATAGACAGGCTTTGTAATCTCTGTTCCCTACTCTGGAGTACGTTGGAACTTAAGAGACAACAACAATAAACTTTTGATTGACATGCTTCAGGAGATCTAAAAACATGTCTGTGTGCACACTCCCCAGATGTGCTGATCTCATGCTCCTCCCCAGGTCTTGTTGCTCAGGACTGACAATTTCATCCTGTGTTTCCGCTCCCCAGTTTCATCCTTATCTCTGTGCATTTTGAGTGCAATTGTGTAGTAGTCTAAAATAACATCTGTGTTTGTTTAGTTAAAACAGTTCACTTTTAAAACCTAAAAATAGAGAAACTCAAGATAAGCAAGCAGGGAAGTAGTGATGTGACTTTTCTGAATAGGGCAAACAAATATATCTGTATTTTTGGGAAACAGAAGAACCAGGCTCCCCGTTCAAAGAGCAGCATCAAGGAGCTTTAAAAAAAACACCAAAAACCCGGTAGCAAATTACTTGTCGTTCCCGAAGCCCACCCCATCTGATGACTCAGAGCTGGAGTCCAGGATGCTGTGAGCATCCTCTTGATGGTCACTTTTGGCTGGGTATGAAAAAAAAAAAAAACCCAAACATCTACACAAATGTCTTTTGGGAGTCGGAACTATTGTGTGAGAAGGCACCTGGGCACTCTTGCTTGTACCCCAGGGGTTCAAAAACCCTCAAGTCACAGAGCAGTCCCTATGCCCACAACCTACCTATCCCTCACAGCTTGAGCCCTGCCCACACTAAGAAACTTTTCCACACATTATCCAGTCCTGCATCACAGCTGTGGTTTCTACAGTGTTGACTCTAGTTAACAGACAGTCTACCAACCAGCAACTACACAGGGGCCAGCTGGGACCCAAAGTGCTGCTGTCCTTGAGATCACCTTCAGATGGACACAGCTCTCTACATAGCTTACTAAGAGCTGAGTAGGAACAAGGGTGTCAACATCCCGATTTGCTGCAAATCTCAGGGTCTTTGGGCCTAGACAAAGAGAAAATGATGTAACACCCACTTTCAGTCCTACACTTTGAGTTGAGGTATCCTAGGAAGGAGAAACAGTCTCTTTCAGGATGCAACTGTAAATGTGGGTTAAGAAAAAAGAAAAAGACGCTGTCATTACAATAATGAGAAGGCAAGGCAGCAAGATGAGGGCTGTACGCAGCCTTCCAGTTCTCGGTGAACAACTGTGGGTCTTTCAACATTGTTTGCAAACATTATTCATGCTCTTTAGGGAGTGTTGACATGAATTGCTCATTAGCAAAATCATTTGTCTGATTTCTAAAACAGAATTAAGTGGTCAACTTGACCAAAGTTATTTAAACCATCTTGGTAACTTCTACATGACAAAACACTCAAAGTATTGAAACAATTATGTTACATGAGTTTCTGTTTACTCCCAATCAAATCCACCCCTAAACCCTTGCGACTCTGAATTTAATGTACCTCTCATTATGACCTTCAAATGACCTGTGATGTGAAAGTCCAAGGTCTCAGAGACAAACTTCAGGAAATGGGGCTCAAGGACCAGGAGCTTCTGTAACATGTTCTAGAAGGAACACAGCCCAGGTATCAGTCCAGTGCAAAACACTGGTCTATGTGGGAAGCAGAAGTCAGTGCAGATTCAGGGTAAAGGGACTTGCCAAGACTCACCTGGGGGAATATTTTAAAGAAAATTATATGCTTTGCAGGTGAACATTTAGAGTACCAATAGTAGTTGTCACACACACACACACACACACACACACACACACACACACACACACACACGAACGCACATTGAACTGAACACCTGTATTTTCCCTAAATTGGCTAAGACTATATTTTATAAGCATCATTCCACATTTGGGAAACCCAGTGAGCTATTTCTGTCAGTTCTCTAGTTACAGATTTATAAAGTATCATTTTATTGTAATTTCAGCGATTTGCTAATGATCTGAATGAGTTAATGCACCCCCCAGTGTGTCTGGTTTATAAACACGGAATGTTTACAGTCAGAATAACCCTGCTGGATACACATTCTGGATTAGTCAATTTGGCAGATGGAAGCGATCGTGAGGAAAGCGTTACAGATTGTAAACCCCAAAGATGCTGGCAATTTTGTGAAAACTCAAACATGATTTCATATGAGGTACCTGCTCCATACTGGATACCTGAGAACAAAGGATCAATCCAGAAAGCACAATAGGACAGCAAACATTGTCTACAAATTGTTAACACAAGCGGCAGTCTACAACTTTAAGAGAAGTTACTTCAGTTTCTAACTTTCAATTTGGGGATACTCTAAAGGTTACAAGCAAGGACTTCAAATCAAACACTCTCTGAACTGAATAAGCAAGCACTTTTTTTTCTACCTAAAAGATGATTAAAATGTATATTAGTGTTGATTACCAGAGAAAACATTATTTTATTTCATGCGGTCCTTGAAAGAAGTCCAACTTGTTTTGTCTTTGCTCTTAAAAGACTCTCTCTCTGTGTGTGTCTGTCTGTCTGTCTGTGTCTGTGTCTGTGTGTGCATGTAGAGGCCAGAGATGAGACATGGGTCTGTCTACCTTGTCTTTTGAGACATGATCTCTCACTGGAGTCTCTTCAAATGAGCTAGCCTGGCAGACCAGCAAGCCCCAGGGTCCTCCTATTTCCTCCTCCCAATACTGGGATTACAGTCAACCCCCATTATAGAAGGCTTTTTTTTTTTTTTAAAGTTTAGGGTGGAACCCAGGACCTCATGCTTGCACAGCTATCTGCCCAGCCCCAATTCCATGCTTCTGGTTATCCTCAGGTTCGAATCTCATCAAATTATAACTGATCACTGCTTTCCCAGAGGCCTGCTCCAGTGTGAACTGTCTACACCAGGGCTAACTTACAAACAGACAGAATGTGGCTAAGAAGCCAACTGTCTTCTGCTTGTCTGGAGTATAACCTACTACAACATTTCTTTTTCTACAAAAGGCAATGCCTTCCCCTTTGGAGAAGAGTGAAGTTTCAGCCTGAGTTGGTTTATCAAATCATCCTATTTCTAAAGTCACTGGGGGTGTGGTGGCAATAGATTAGTCCCTGGTGCCATTTTTATTTATCTGGGATCAGCAGAGTTCATCTTCCACCCAGTCTTATGTCTCTTAGAGTAGCTTTTCTTTTTTTGTCTCCTGGCATTTTAATCAGGGAAAGTCACAGTTGTTTTGAGGAAAATGCTCCCAAGAGCTTTAATTAAAGCTGGAAGGATAAATCTGTTTACAGTGTGGTGAACACCATCATTAATAAAACATTGGAATAATTAACAAATTAAATTCTGCTTTGTGTGTGAATGGCTACAGCTAGGATCTATGAGACCATGTCTCTTGAACAAATACAACATGATATGTACTTTGTGTAGAAGAAAAGAAAAACACAGCCCATGTTTCTCTGAGATTTCTAGTACCATGGACTAGTGGGGCTTCAGTGGCTGAAGGCCACATCATTGTTTTGTGGGGAAGGACCTTATTGCCACGAGTCTAAGGTTAGTCTGTAATGTTGTGTACAAAAGTGAGAATTTTGATTGCATCACAGTTAATACGAGTCTGTGATTGCTTCATTAGAAACAAAGAAAGAAAAAGGTCATGTTAATAATTTAAGTAGCCTAGAAGACAAGCTACAGAAGGGAATAATCTGGAAAAAATGAACAAATTTTACATTGTGCTCAACTGTGACCACTAACCAGAGCTTTTTGTGAAGTGGCCTTGTGAGCAGGATATGGCCATTCGAGAACCTTCCAGTTGGGACTTCCCTTCATGTTTCTTCTTACCAGGCAGCTCCTTGTCTTGTTTTGAAGCTTCCTGGCAGACAACGGATCTCACAGGAAGCACTAGTGTGGACGTTCATATCCACAGCTAACGATGTATTGTTTTTTTTTTTTTTTTAAACGTTACTTGGTAATTTCCTAGAGAAAACAATGGGAACTGAAGGCTGTTCCTGTCTTTAAGGAAAGCCAGTTTCCAATGTTGGCTTATTAATTTAACACATGCAAGTATTTGTTCTAGTTGTTGCTACAGCAACGTGTTTTGTGGGGCATATTTCATGCAAAATGGGATAAAGCTGAAAATCAAGACAAATGTCATCTGCATAATCATGTGCGTAAAAATAGACACATACGTGTGTGCCGCCGTACGTGCTATGCTGCGTGATTAGCAGCGCCTGCCTCGGCCCTTCATCTGAATTACGCTGCACTCGTTAGTTAATTTATAAAACATCTATCTGATGAAAACAACCAGCCAACCACTTCCAAGGAGCTTCAGAAAAGCTGGAAGCACATGAAATTATTCATAATTAGGTGATGGGTGGATGAGAACCGCTCCTGCCACGAACACAGACATAAGTGTGTAAATGAGCTCTGAGCGCCAAAGGAGAAGGACCGTTTCACCTCAATGTGAACGAGAAGCTAAGCTTTTGTGACAGCCGCCTTTTGTAGACACTGAGAGGTGAAGTCCCCACATGTTGCCAACATAAGCATCTTCAGCTAGAGGGAAGGAGAGGACAGACTCTGGTGCTCATGAGAGAGACCCACATGTGGGAAGGAAAATGGACCATGAAGTCACCACACTTGATAACATGAAGCATGTGGGGCTGGGAAGCCCAACAGACTTCGTTTAAGTCCAGGGTCCCACATGTAACCAGTACTTACTGGTTTTCCTCAGCCCCAGTGTCCCTATTTTTGAAATGGAGGAGTTTTAGCTCCTTCGCAGGATTAGGGGATTCAACCAAATCGGCCTCCTGTTGAAACGGGAAATGTGGCTCACTGGTCGGGTGTTTGCCTACCTAGCATTTAGGAAGCCTTGAGTTCCATCTCTAGCCCCGCATAAAACCAGGTGTTTCAATCCATGTTTACGATTCCCCCACCCAGGAGGGGGAGGCAGCAGGGTCAGACGTTCAAGGTCACCCTCAGCTACATAGTGAGTTCAAGGCCATCGTGGCCTACGGGAGAGACCACCTCAAAAAGAAATGGAAAGTGTCCCAAAGCTGTTAAGTGGCCAGGACACCTCAGAAGCAAACAGGAGCGGGGAAGAGCTTAGGAGAGGCACCACTGTCAGGCATTCA